TAATTTTTATGTATAACAACGACGTTCATGGCATAATATGGCCCCCTGTCGAAAATAACATTATAAAGCTTTATAGTTATAGGGTAGAATCATAATCATTTAAGGAACAAAAATTATAATATACATGTTACAAATATGTTTATGGTAAATGAGTTTAAATAATTATCTCCTACAAGCTTGTTCGTGTACGTTTTCATTAAGAAATTATTCATGATTGTTAGCATATAATTAGAGAACAAATTTTAATGATAGAAAAAACTGGTAATATTTGGTTTGATAGCATTTTTATCAGTTATACAGGTCTATGATTTGGAAAAGTTTCTGATGCCTGCAAAGATATATACCTATCTTTTTGCTAAATAACACGAGAGTTATGATAATAATAATAATAATAATAATAATAATAATAATAATAATAATAATAATAATAATAATAATGATCAGCAATATAATTACGACAAACACTTACAAAATACATATCATTATTGTGGATTAAAATTATAACTTATGGAAATTAGTATATATGTATTGTATCCCAATTAAGGTAATTTCAGTCAATTTCTGCCATCATCTATGTTACAAAAGGTACCCCATTGTAACATATAAACACGACATTTGAAGAAGGACTAAAACGGCGACATTCACTTTCAGGCATTATTCGGCCGGTGTGACAGTTGGCATTTATCAATTAACAGTAAGCATTAAGCAGGTGCCAGTATGCATTAGGCATATTATTCTTCCTTATCGTTATAGAGCGCTTTATACATTTCAGACTGTAATTGAAAATGTTTTATACATTTTTGACAGTAAGCAATTGACAGTAAGATGTTGACAGTTTACAGTAGGCAGTTGACAGTAGGCAGTTGACAGTAAACAGTAGGCTGTCGTTTATAGAATTCCGTATCATTATGATTTTACTTTTCTTGATTTATTGCTCATCTGGAGGCATGCAGCTTATCCGTACAGTGTACTGTTTATGTAGCTGATGTTTCACTGCAAAATAATATAAAGTTGCTAAACCTAAACCTAAACACAAACCTTAACACAAACAAACAAACAAACAAATAAACAAACAAACAAACAAACAAAGTATAGTATAGCATAGTTGACAATTGCGACTATGTTATATTAAGTCTGTTCGTGACAAAACTGGAAAGACTGTAAAATAATGAAATGACTTGTTTACCCTCTTACGCATAATGACAAAAAATATCATAAATTAAAATAACACATAGAACTGTCGCCATTGTAATCTACTTATCATTGGATTATAAAGAAATCGTGATTATCTTAACGTCAACTACCACAAATGCTTACCATGCCAATCGCCTAGGGAACATTCAAAATGCTGATATAAACAAAAGCATGAAAACTTTCAAATTACATCTTATGTATTTTTGAAAACAAAATAAGGTTTAATTCTGCTTGCTCTGATTTATGATTGACTAGGAAAGAACGATAAAAATGTGTCTGCATATACAACGGTAATTTATAAATCGCGTTCTGGATAACTTAGTGTTGTTATATTTTCTGGTCCTTCGGGATCATTGATTCCGGCACTGTGTGAGAGTGTTGAGAATTGAGTACCGCTCAAGCCGGTGCTAGGGGGCGTGAGGGATGTTGCACTTATTCATTATCTCTCATGTACAGACTCAATCAAACCGAGTCTGCAATTCTATGTAAATTTTGTTGGATTAAATGCTTCGAAGGGATCAGAACTTTGTTCCAGAAATTTTTTTCCAAACAGTGAATGACGTTAAATTAACCTTTAAATAAAATATGACTATGATATGAAAATTATAATGTTAAATAAAGATTTATTTTGCTTAAAACAAACTATTGCTCAGCATATAAGTACAAATTGTGCATCACGTCAAACGAATCTGTTCTGACACTATTCATTTATTGATTCATTATTTCTTTTTTCTTTCTTATTTTTTTTCTTTCTTTCTTTCTGCGTGTGCGTGTGCGTTAGTGTGTGTGTGTGTGTTGGTGCGTGTGTGTGTGCGTATTTATTTCTGTTTGTCTGTTTGTTTATTTCATTACTTACTTACTTTCTTACTAACTTTCTCTACTCTGCCCTGCCCCGCCCTCACTCTACTCCACTCCACTCCACTCAAAAGACTGTGAAAAAGTGATATTACTTGATTACCTTTTTACGCATACTGATACGAAAAACATAAAATATGTTTAGATGTCATGTGAAAATTTGCATGTTTTTGTTTATATCAGCATTTTGAATGTTCCCTAGGCGATTGGCGTGGTAAGCATTTGTGGTAGTTGAAGTTAAGATAATCACAATTACTTTATCGGTAATACACTTAGTTCAATGATAAGTAAGTTACAATGACGACATTTCTATATTTTTTTTTTATAATCATGCGCAAAAAGGTAAACAAGTTACATCACTTTTTCACAGTCTTTTCAGTATCATAACGACCAGACTTAATACAACATAGTTGCAGTTCTCAACTATGCTATGCTATACTTTGTTTGTTTGTTATTACCAACTTTAAATCATTTTGCAGTGTAACATAGCTACATTCAGATTACACTGTACGTTTTAAATACACGTATAACAGAAATAGGTGTTCCGGTCGAAAATTATTTATATATACCCTTAACAATATAACGTTAAAGCTGCATGCCTCCAGATAAGCAAAAAAAATCAAGACAAGTAAAAAAATTCACAATCATAATGATAAATCACATGTTATATACAATGAATGACTGGCTTTGCAGTATTCATCACCATATTTCTACAGCATAACTAATACAGTAAGGGATATGTTTGCATATTTTGACATTCTATTGGTAATTAGCATGGACTGAATGCGCTGTTTGCAATACGTTAACTACTTTCTTGACAATATTTTAATAATAATTTTCCATTTTTTTAATTAAATAAGCCTAAATCCGGCGGCATACTGCTTTATTTAGAACAAGGGGGAAAGGCCCGAAACGTAAGTTTCGATTTTCGCACATTTTATCAGATTTCTTTACCCAATATATATCAGCTGTTCATGTTATTCGATATAACCATATATTTAAAACAAATAAATGCCTGTAACAATTGAACATTATTTGTTGAAACAACAACTTTTTTCAGAAAAAATATGCTGTCACATACCTGCATTTTGATGATAGTATGTTTATGTACTAAAGCGTTTATCACCTAAATGTCGTAATGATATCTTCCAGATTTCATATCTCGAAAAGTTCAATATCAACTTTAGAGATATTAAGATAGGACAAATATATAAAAAATTAACACAATTTAAATATCAAGATTCATATTAAGTTGAAACTTTAAATTTACTTTGTTACTTATTTATTTTATTTCGCGTGGATGGGGGGGGGTTCTATTAGCTTATTGAACACTCGATTTCGTTTCTGGAAACAACCAGTAATAAGCAATAAGTGTTAAAATCGTTGCTCCGGAATAGCCTGCCCTGAGCGGGGTTTCAATCCACGCGGCCAGGAAACCCTAGATTAATAGTCCGACACACTATCCATATTTTTATTTATATTACATTTTATTTCAGCATCTGTATTTAGATTACATTTTATTTCTTAGCATTTAAAGCAAAAGTCATGAAACAGTATGTTGCTTTTTCTGTCAGATTTTCAGTTATCGTCTGTACACGATGTCCTGTTTCTGTTAGTTTAAACCTTTACAGACACTTTCCATTTTCATGAATCGGACTCTCAAATCTACTGGAAAGTCAACGGGAAGCTGCAAAAATACAGAAACAAATCTGATGTAATAATTACTTATATATTATGATAGATATTATTCTTCTTCTTTGATCATTATATAAGATAAGCACTTCTTATATTTATTTCGGTAGCATTGTATTTGTGAATAAGGTGGCCCCACTTAATATAAAGCGCAATGCCTTGTTTTATTACAATCGAACACTTTAAGATAAGGTTTGACTAAAATTTAAAAATGATTATTAATTTTCCCTTGTGAATTGATATTTATAAACTTACCCCTACTGTCGTATGCATCACTATCCACTGACAGTACTCTTTAAGCTTAATGACAGCCTCTCCCATTTTATCTTTTTTCTTTCCACCCTTACCTCCCTTTTTGCCACCTTTTCCTTCTTTGCCACCTCCCTTCTTGCTCTCCTAAACAATAGTGTGAAATATAATTAAAGTGCAGAGGCAAGAAACAATCCGTTTAAAGTTCAGATTTTCTTAAGTTTACATGAATTGTAGTGTTATTAGGGAGCTTCTTTTAATTTTTTGATTGAGAACAAAAATATAAAAAATCAAAGGGCATGCTTTTTTTGAAAACTAAAACACTTTTCATGAGAATTTACTTCATGCTGCTCTATTTTTTCTTTCAGTGCGTTTTAATGAAAGCTGCCGACTCGCGTCATCGGTCAAACATATACAATGAAAAAAAAACAAAAAAAAAAAACACGAAATAAACAATTATACTACTTAAAGCTATTGTATCCGTACAATCATCAATCATACATTTGGCAATGTTAGAGTCTGCCATTTGAGGAGGACAAATTTGTTGAATGTAACATCAAGTTAATATAATATTCATTTATTAAGGCTATTTGTATACTCCTAAAAATAGAAAGCGACCACGATTTCGATTCTAATTAAGACAAGGTTTGAGGAATTTTCAGATTATCGAAGTTTATTACGTTTGTTAGCAACCATTCTTTCCAAACAGTTCTATATTTAAAAAAAATGATATGATATCTTTGTGATGTCATAGAATAGTTTTACCTGTTTAGCTGTTTGTTTTACAGCGTATTCCTTGTTCTCTTCTTCTAGTATGTCTTCACATACTGGTTCTAGCATTTTAAACGGCTTTTTGTACTTTTTGTTCTTGTTTTCCTTGATATCACCAGAGTCAAGGCCGTTGCATAGAACAGAAAGTCCATTGTCGGGTCCATCATAAAGTACCATGCTACAAATGCCATTAAAAATCGCAGTCATAATTCTCTTGTCTTCCGATGTAAAGTTTTGAGGCTGAAAGAGGACGGACTTCTTTAATGTACATTTTAGAATGGCTACTTACTGCAAAAATATTATTTTGTAATATGTAATACCTTAACGTTTTTTTTATATTATTTACATGATAATTTTCAAATGTGAATTGATTAATCTATAATAAACACAAAGATAAATTAAGCTTAAAGTAAAATTAATGAATATTTATTTTATCAATTATACATTTTATTTAGACGAATCAATATTCGAATAAAAGATTAACGATAGACGTATAATATGTTATTTGTTTACTTTCATTTTGGCCCGACCTGCTCTGCTCAATGAAATACCGGTCTAAAAACCGATTTTAAAAGCACTACAGACAACTACACGCTGCTTAAAGGCCCATTATGCCCATTACGCCTAAGAAATGTTTATTATTCTACTTGCCTTCTCAAAAGTTTTTATTACCTATATTTTCCAGAAAGTTACTTATTGGCCAAGTACCTGAACATTCCTTTTTCTTCTGATGCTTATTCTTATTTGCTAATTAACTTAGCTATCATTTGCTTATTTTGCCTTTTACAATTATTATAAATGTCGTATTTTAGAACTTTCTATTGAAGTCAAAATACTACTAGTACTTTATTTACATTTTAATCATTTTGATTCATTTATGAGATATATTAATTTCACATACAGCGCTTCATTCTCCAGGCATTAAGTAACTCACAAGTTTTTAAACCATCGTATAAATGTAACGTAATATATTCATGTTTTCCCTTTTTAATGAAGAATACCGCTTTTCGTTTCTGAGTCATAATGTGCTTTTAATTGCACATGAAAACAATTTCCTCTTTAATCTTAAAAAACAAAAATCAAATTCTTCAAATTTTTCACATCCTTATATATTCTACCAATGTCTTTATCAGGTTTTAGTGTATTTTTTAACATGTAAGCTTATTACAAAGTTGTGTGCGTGTGTGCGCGCGAGCGTGAAGAGTGTTGTTTACCCTAGGCCACTGGAATAATTTCTACATAAAAGAGACGGACGTTAGGGAATTTCACTTATAATAGCTGCCTTTATTATTAGGAGCAGCATAAGTTTTCTTAGAACAACAACTTAAATGGTTATTTGTTACCTATTAAAGTATAAAATTAGATTGAAAACTGGATTATTATTTTTTGCAATAAAGCTTTAAGCCAGGCATTACTCAAAACTTTTTCCCGAAGTATTGAAATGAAAATACTGAAAGCAGAAAGAAGTTAAAGGGACTCTACTGACTTTTTGGACATGATGTAACTGCAAATATTTTTTCAGATATATGTACCATTTGTTGTAGGTTTAGATCTCTAATTTTTCAGATCATTCACGCACTTATTTTTCTAGAATAATTTTTCAAATTGTGACCCAAAATGACAAGCGTTAAACACTTTTCACTCAATTTGGGCTAAGAAAAGCATAAAAATACGATCTTCAATTTATTTTAAAGTTTATATCTTAACTACATGTATCTTTGTATATATTCTGTTTAAAGTGTGTAAGAAATTTAAATGTTTTTTATTTAGGCTTTTAAACCTCAGTGGAGTAATACTTTCGTTTTAAATAGCATTTTCAAATGACGACCTTTGAGTCTATATCATTTGATTAGTATTTTTGTGTACAGATGTTGAAACATGTAAAGCCATGTCTATCAACCGCATCTTAAAAGGCATATGCATACCTGTTCTGCTTTCAACCTTATACAGGACTGGGACAGCATAACTATCGCGACATTTACTTCCGAACCGCCTTTCTTGTCTGCATTTTCCTTAATTTTTCTAGGCATTATCTGAAAGAAAACAAAAATTTGTATCATAAGTCTTTGAGGAGATGTTATATCTGTATTTAGCAAAGAAATATATTGGCGGATAACAGGCTTAACAACATTGCAAAACTGTTTAACAAAAAGAACAACTAAATGTGATCAATATTTGCTTACTTCAGCATCACTCGCTATACCATCCCCTTCTTCTGTCAAGTTATAAAAGTCACATAAATCAGATTCAACCCAGTCAAACCATGTCTTGTATTTCGGGTTCGTGTTTTCAACTTCACCTGCTTCAAGACTTTTGCAAAGATTGATGAGCCCAACTTCATATCCTCCTGTTTTTATCCTGTATGCTTCTTGGCATATTGGGTAGGTATCATTTACATAGATGTCTTCAAGTTCATTCGGTGTGTCATTTGGAAACTAGAATTAAATAAGCAATACAATTAATTGTTGAAAAAGAATAAATACAAATTAAACAATAAAGGAACGCAGTGGAGGAAACAAAATCCTGGACGGTGCACATCTATTTATTGAATAAGCTACATTTCTACATTGATTTCATTAATCTAGCCGAAACAAAGAAAAAAACTTGAATTCATAATTAACAGTCTGTTCCGCATAAAGAAGTAAAATTAAGCAACTAACTAGGGTGAAGTCAACCAGCCTCGTTATAAGGATGTAGATTATAATACTTACGGATTCAAGATAATTTTGAACTCCAATGGAGATACAAATTGCCATTAATCTCTCCACTGCCTTGTTTCCTTTATTTTTCTTCCCGCCTTTTCCTTTTCCTCCCTTTTTACCGCCTTTATTACCTTTTTTCTATAAAAGTTAAATAAAAAGAAGGCTGTTTATTATTCACATAACGTTATTTACATTTGTTCATAACCTGTGTCATTAAATAATTGGTGTTTTTATATTCTTATTCTACAACAGGTATCAACTTATGTACACGATCAACTACTTTACAAAGTGACTGCTAGAATTCTTATGTTTCTCAAACCTTGTTTAATAAATATATGATACACGAGTTGGAATTTCATACAGACTGAAACGAGAAATAGTGACCAAGTGCAGAAAAATGTAATAAAAAGGGCAAAAACACCGTTTGACAAAAAGTATATTTGAACGAATGGCATTAAAGTGTTTGTAAAACCGGTATTACAATGAAGACAAGCGATGTAGCGTGCTTGAACGACAAATGCCCTTTTATCTTTGTCATTATAGATAAATCAAGTCAATTATCTCACGAATAAATAATTAATATAACATGCACCGAGATACGACAGAAGTTAAAGCTTCAAATACCGCAAGCGTTTCGATGATCTCTTCCTCCTCTTTATACTTTAAGATATCGGTACATGTCGTATTAAATTGTGTAAACACATCATCATATTTTGCTTCAGTGTTTTCTATTTCTCCATCTTGAAGACCTTCACAGAGTTCAATATACTGCTCAAGGAGGCTCTTGTCATTCTTCTTTCCCTTTTTCTGTTATTTCAGAACAATTTAAGATATAATTGAATCTTTAATGCACAAAAATACAGATATTATACACATAAAATGGCTATGCATCAACACGATCAAGTTAACAATAATCCGATTATCATTTCAAATCAATATTTTGTCAGCGTTGCTTAAACCCATAAACAACAAAATGATTTTTTGACGTTTTATTATGTGCATTACGTACTTACCGATATCAGTTTTTATCAAAAGCATAAAATATACACAGTTGTTACCAAGTTGAAATATAAAAGCCAAATATTCCAAAAAAAAAATAATCTGAATACAAGAGTATTTAAATTAGATAATCGGGCAAGTGTACAAATTTTCCCAGACATTTTTCGAGAGATTTCAATAATAAATTTTCAAGTGTCCTGGTGCATATTGTTTGAATTTTGTAATTTGTTATTTTGCGCAGAAAAAAAAATTATATCAAGTTATAAAGCCAATCTTTGGCGCGCTTCATTATTTTTTAATTTTCAAACGATTTCTTAGAATAAAAATATTTATATCTTCGAGTCGACAAAAGAAAAAGTCCGATTGAGAGTATTATTGTAGTATCCTACCATTGTTATTAATTCAAAATAAAATTAAGGCAAAAGAATAGTCGTGTTAAAAATAATTACAATGCAAGATCAATTCAAACTATGACAATATTTAAGCTTTTATTATTTCATTGCGTTGAAAAAGTAGTCATAAATTTGACAGCGTGCTGTTAGAATCTCCCAAGTTTTATTTTTATAAACATGTTTTAATACAAACAATCAAAAACTGACACTTTCACGTGAATGGATTATTTTAAGACTAGTATGACCGTTTTATAAAGCGAAATAAAAACATCAACTAAGACATACTTACATTTGGTTTTGCTGAAACCAGTATCACTAAACTTAGAACAACTACCACAACTACTTTTATATTCATCTGAAAAAAAAATCAAGTGAATATGAAAATGAAGTGTTAGTTAAAAAGTATAATCAGCTGTTATTCTGTATTATAAATTGAAACTAAAATTTATTAGACGGACCTAACCTTCATAAACTCTTGATTAAAATGCTAACTCACAAACAATGATAAAATCAGTACAATACATGTAGGGGATATTGAATAACTGTAGGTTCAATAAAGATTTTTTAGGGATGACAACGCCGATCGATTCCAGTACTCAAGTACTCGGTCATTCCTCCGATCCAGTAGCCAGTTACTCGAAATTTTTCTTCGGACGTTTAAGATATATAACCATCTTCATCGATCAAAGCAGTCACGAGAACGAAAACAGAGGTTAATTTATAAGACTGTACGACAGCGACCGACTTGCGTTTCTAATTTTGATACACATAACTGACTTGGACAAGAAACGCGATGAATATACCTTGAAAATATCAAATACATATATGAATAAATTATAAATAATATACTGTACCTTGAAAATATCAAATATATATATAATTAAATTATAAGGGCCTAAATTATCTATTACATCTTACATTTATGAAAGTAGTTAGCCCTTCAAAACGGTTTAAAAGTAAATCGGAATAAATTTTGGCCCGTTTTAGAAGTACCTCGAAATAAATTTCGGCAACACGCTTGTAACTTTATGTAATGATTGGCCGAAGATGATAAAAACGACGACATTGTTAACGTTATTGTTTATTGCATACATCTTCACCTCTACAACTATTAATTACCTTGTTAGTTAACAACACAATTTTCGCATATTTGCAAGGATAGTTCTTTTTATTAAATCTAAGTTTACATTGGACATTAATTTAAGAAAATCTATTAGTTTTTCACAATATAAATGTTTTCGAATAAAAAAAAGATGAAGAGAATTTCTACCGAATACTCGAGTATCAATTGAACGTCCGATCGAGTCCAGATTTACCTGATCCCTAGAATATTTTTTTCCTGTTAAAAACAAATATATATTCATGCATATCATTATTTTTTTTTCAACGAGTTGAATTATTTCTATTTATCACATATCCAAATAAAAAATATTTACATGGAATTCATTGACACATTTCAATACATGTTTTGTTATTTAATCAATATTATAACTGCTTACATTAATATTAAGCATTAGTATATTAACCGTTTAGATTTAGAATTCACATTTTAAACACTTTTATCTGTTTTCTAAAATGTTTAATATAACTATATTTATATAATTATCTTAAAACAAAAACTGATAAATATGTCACCTTTTCACTTCTGTCAAAAACTTGAAAAGCTGAAAAACTATAAGACAAAAAATAAACATGCATTTATTTACCTGGAACAAACTTAACTTTCCTTAAGTAAGTAAATGATTTAAAAGTATCACTTTACCTTTATTTCTGTCCAGTTTACTGTATTTTGCTGTGAAGATGTGGTGTTTAATGATAGCTTCTCTTAAACTGACTAACTATTCAATTTATTAATCTATTTTGTCTGTAACCTGTTGACGACAATTTAAAAAAAATTGTAATTATACAATGCCTACGGACAATTTATTTTCCAATATGTGACGTTATTATTATCCCTGTCGCAATACAGGAGTGGGACTAAAGGAGTGGCATTGTTTGTCAGTCAGTGTTTGCGTGCCTATTTTAATGTTTAATGTTGCTATGTGAACTAGAGTCTTCACAACATTTTCTTTGATTCTGCTTTATTCCGTGGCTAAAATGGTTTAGTTGGGCTGGAAAGAACAGTGGAAAAAGGCCATCCCTCAGACGCAAATATTGGAATCCCCATTACATTTTTGTGTTCGTTACATAACTTTGTACATTTAATTGCTGAAAGTGTTTTTTAGATAACTTAGGGCAAACCATATACATTATGAGACAATGTGATGAGCGCAACAAAGAGGTCATTTGAAGTTTAGGATCGCATTTTCAAGTTAAACGTAAATGTCAACTTCATAACTATTTTGTTTGGTTTTACGGCGCACCTACACAGTTTAGGTGTTTTAATGAATTTTATACGACAATTGAATAACTTAAAAACATTATTACGGTAAACGGGTTCATATAGTGGTTAATGGTTCATAGAGTGGTTAATAAAACGTTCGTCTGGCGGTACATGATTACATAGTGTCTTAGCTCAAGAGGGTTCTAATCAATTTGACAATCAAATTGTAATATTTTATTAGATGCTACTCATTTATGGACATTAAACAAATGCCTTATATAATAAACAAGGGTTCATGTAGACCAGGTTTTTGTGACGTGACACGCAGTACATACGTGTTTATTCTAATATATCGTACAATAACTGGTTTTAACCTGAAAGGAATGCTTCTGAAAATTATTTAGATTAAAACATTGATATCACAGTCACGTTGGGTTAAAAAAAGGTTATTTTATGAGATAGTATTTGACTTTGTTCACGAAATAAAAATTCAATATTCGGGCGCACATTTTTCTTCACTATCTCCTGTTCAATCAACGGTCAGCACAAATACATTTATTGGTATTAATACACACGAGATTCGAGTTTCAAACATTTACACGGTCTTTCAATCACTTTCTACGCCATTAGGCCGTTGCGGTTTTCGTTGCTATTGGCCAATCAGAAGACTCGTTACAAAGTATCGAACAGCTGATTGACAATGGCGTAGAAAGGAATCTAAAGACCGTGGAAAGGTTTGAAATTCGAATTTTGCGTGTAACAGATGCTACTGACGGTTGTGAGTGGTCCAACTTGATGTATTTAGTAATATTATTTAGTAAATTCAAGTGATTTTGACCCGTACTCAGCTGACATACATGTATTAGTCTATGTTTACGTACCGAATTGCTGTGCCGCAATTCTGTCTACCAAGGATTTTCAGCACGAATTCGCTCGTTTCCTGATAGATATTTCATGAACGGGAAGGGCTAGAGACTTGGGGTTGGTCTCATTTTGAAGCTTGATATAAATGTGAAAAAGTGACAAAAGTTTGTTTTAATTGTCTGGCCAATTGTTTTCACAACGGCCCGGGAAATGAATTCCTTGCTCGTAAGCTCGAATCTGGAGTTTCCGGCCTTCTCTTAACTTATAGTATATTTTTAAAGGGGGTCATTATTTCCTTTTTTTGTTTTTTTGACACTTTAAAGATGAACACAGGTTTTTTTTATCAATTTTATCAATCTGGTCATATTTTTTCTTCCCAGGTCCGATACTCGTGCCTGTGTTTGTAACCACAGAATTGTTTTATAATATTTCTATTCTAAACCTAATATTTCTTTTTCACCAATGTAACATACGCTATTTGTAACACTATTAAAACTTGAAAAAATCTTGATAGTCATTTTAATGGCAAAGTATTGAAATAATTTTAAAGCTGTGCCAAGATATTATCTACAATATGATGAACAGAACATAGCAGAATATACACGTATATGGGTGATGATATAAAACAAATTAGATTTGTTCTATGAAAACTTATGTAACAAAAAGTTTTTAACAATTAGTAAAATAATTAGTTTTGACTTTTATTTATATAATTGATATGAGTAAAATGATCAAATGCAGTAAAATACCAGTTCATGCGGTAAGTGCACGAGAACTTTCCATTTCATGATCTTTATCCGTAATACTGTACTATTTTATTATGATGCGTGTAATATTTGTTCATAAAGGAGCTACAAAATAAAATATAGTTTCGTAGATAATCTGTAATCTTTAATCTGTTTCTAGTTTTACGTCTTTCACAGTCTGAAATACAATTTATTAAGAATTATGTCTAAATTACATATAAATCGTTAAAGATATACTATGATTGTAATATTGAAATTTGAAAATATTAATAATTGTTACAAGTCATTCTGTAAAAATAAAATAAACATGTTTTGACTTCACACAAAGTTATGATGGCTGATGTTTTACACTTTTGCGTGTCGTGTTGTCGCTGACGACAACTCGACAAAGCGCCGTTATCGCTTATCGTTATGTCGCTAGCGAAACACGTCATCTCTCGGCGTGTTGTCGCGATCACACACTGTCGATTGACTCAAATGGAAGAATTAGCTTATTGGCGCTTTGGTGCTCGCGAACGAGCCATGCGACGATATGAAGCCGATCCTATGATGTAGGACAAGCGACAGGGCGACATTGCATAATTATAGCACATTGTTTTTTTATTTGTTTACCTTTAACGAGAAGAACAAGGACCGGTCAATTAAATTTTAGCAAATACACAGTCAAGCTTTCAAACGTTTGTATATTGTAATATTATTTTTTCTCATAGCTGTTGATGTTTATCGGTTCAGGCTATAAGTTCAATAAATGTTCAATAATTTGTTTTAATATTCACAAAAAAATGTGCCTTGAGCAAAGACTGAGAACTAAATTTCATACAAATCACGCATGCATCAAATGACATATATTTATTATTTAAAGGCATTTGGGCCTCAAATATGAATGTGATTTTCTTGTTACGATTGAGAGCATTCCTACCTTCATAACCATGAGAACAACCTCTTAAAACAGCGATAGGGGCTCAATGGTCTATTGTGTTGATATTTGAAAGCAGGAGGTCGCGAGTTTGAATACTAGTCACGGCGGGATGTTTTTTGATACATTTGCATCTTTCTTTTACGAAATAGAATATCTAATTTTATCAAATTATTTCTAAAGGAATATTAACATGTGTTTTATAATAATATGATGTTGTATTTTATATGTCTTGAGGTGCTTATCATTTGAATAATAATACAGCTCTGAATCTGAAATAATTTGTAATAAAGGTTACAAACAAAGCGATATTTTGAATTCCACTCAAAATATGATATCACTTTAAGTGTACTTATTGCTAAAATGCATACATTTACACGCTTAAGTTTACTTTAGATATACAGGGAGAATGAAAACAGTGTAATAAAATTTATTTTAGCTTTGCATGATCTTAGAATATGAGTCAAAAACATTTTAGCGAACAAAGTTTAGGGATCAGCAAGCGCATTTAAGAAATAAAAAAGAAAACATTGTGTAATTTATTGCTGTGGTCATTTATGAAATAATGCGTTCAGATAGCGGTAATCAATAGTTCAAAGCTCTTTTTACAAGATTTTGACCCGTGCAAAATGATTACGAAATCAATTGTTAATTTGATGAAAGGAAACGATAAAAATGTTAATTATGCTGTTCTGCGTCTAAAATTGATATCGTTGTTTAAAAAGCCACTAAAAGATCAAAGCTTAACATGATATATTAACATAACCAAAAATATGAGAAAAACGTAAAAGAACAATTATATAAAAAAATGAATGACAATTTATGAAAAATATAAATAACATAAGTTTAAATATAATTATTATGTGTTTGATGAGTAATTATTCTAATTTGCACGAAAAATCGTATATTCATAATAGGAAGGAAGGAAGGAAGGAACGAACGGACGAAGGAACGACGGAAGGAAGGAAGCAATGAAGGAACGAACGAACGAGGGAAAGAAAGAAGGAACGAACGAACCAAGCACGCAATGAAGAAAGCAAGGAAGGAAGCAAGGAAGGAAGCAAGCAACGAAGCAAGGACTGAAACACCTAAGCATAGAAAAACATGTTTATTATTTGTCATTACCTAGCATTGCCAAACGGATCATTTATATAGAATCAAACTAACTGCTCAATATGTTTATTCCTTCTTAAATAAAACTTTTTTACTTTTTGAAAACTGCTTAAGCTGGTGCTAGAGAGCGTATAAGATGTAAACTTTTCTTTATCGCTCATGAACATGCTTGATCAAACAGAGTCTGCAATTCTCACCGTCATAATATTGCAGACATTATGTTCGAGAGATTTCCTTGTTTGTTTATTTTGTTTTGTTTTGTTTTGTTTCTGCAATACTGGGAATAGTAGAGAAGAAACATTTCTATTATTATATTGTTATAGTTGTTATGGTTATCTTATTTCAAAACCTATACCTTAACTACATAGCATACATCCTGATGACACAACCGTGTGACTACATTCGACACAGTGTTGTTTTAGTCTTCAACGTACTTTTGCCAAATTTCTCTTTCCAAAAATTCAAACATGAGACAAAATTCACATTCTCTTGAGGACACTATCACATCAATTAATTTGTAATTTAGTAATTTGGTAATCTTTGAGCCTCGCAAAAATCAAAATATTCTTTTGCGAGTTTGTTGTAGACAATGATTGAGGGAAAGCTCTAATGTCTTCATTCCGCGTGCTTTTTTCGCAGAAGAACTTCGGTCTTTTCCAGTAAAGATGGTATGGGAAGACATTTGTAAATGGTTCGTTTTACTTGTACAATGTATCAAATAATTTCACTCTATATTTCTACGTAACGTATACATCAAAAACAATCATACAACCACGTTCGGCTTAAATTTGATGTATGTAACTTGAATCATGCCTTAAATATAAAATGCCTTAACATAAAATGGCAAAAGTTGTACTTTACCCTGGCAATAAAAAGAAAAAAAGACATGTTACTATAATCTCTGCAAAAATCGAAACAATTTCTGGTGAAAAGGACTTTATTCTAAGATGATAAATTGATTGAAAATCTGGAACGGTCATTTTATAAAACAAAAATTGATATTCCAGGCAACGGTATACAGGGTTTTTTATTTACAGGTTCTGAGAGATCTTGGTGTCAGTTTTTTTAAGTCCTCGTTTAGACTTCTATTTTATCAATTATAATATGCGTTTTCTTTCTTTAAATTTCAAATGAAACAAAATGTGTGTCAATAATCTCTAATGTTCATGCCGTACGCAGTAATATGCAACGGATGATATGTATAATAAATAGTCCCAAATGTGTTAGTCAAATGTAAGAGAATGGTAATATTTAAAAAAATGTATTCGATTCAAAGTTTTTCAGTAAAATATTTTCAAAGTAGTAAGAGGTAAAAGAAAGATGAAATTGCACGCGTACTCATTCTGATTTCTGTAAGAAAAATGGTATTGCGTGCATACTGATTTCTGTAAGAAAAATAAAACAGCACCCTTACTAAATTCTGTAAATGTAAAAGATAAAATAATGCGCATACTTATTTTTGTAAAAATATATATGAATTAGCACGCATACTAATTTATGTTAAAAAAGAGAAATGATTTCATACTGATTTTTGTAAGAAAGATGCAATCTGTATGCGTGAAATTTAGCTTTCCTGCACTTAAAATTTGGTAAAAAAATAAAACGTTATCCGAAACAAATATCAAACAAATATTGCATCATATTTGTAACTATTGTCAAATTCATTACGAAGAAGGAATAAATAATTCAAAGAAATCAAATTTATTTATTAGAATGGCGACAAAAATCACAAAAAAATAACAATAGCATATTAGATCAGAAAAGGTTCCTTTGAAAACCATTTAATTTAATGACTATTATCATAAATAGCAATAATAAGTTATAAATAAAAGCATAATAAATGCCATTTTGGGTATGCTCCATGCTTTCCGGTAAAACTTTTTTATATATCAAAACAAACGACAGAATTGTGTGATATTGCATGATTGCCAGTTTTTTTATAATAACTGCATAAAATATGATATGCGATTCTGCTTAATTGAATTGTCTGGCTGTCTCTCAAAATAAATTATTAGCAAAAATCATCATATAAATGATGTAATTAATAAAGTAAAATAAAGTAATTGCATTTTAAAGTCTAAGTTTCATGCTTACGCACGTTCACCGACTTTACAGCTATTACTTCTGGTCATCGGGCTACTGGTATCTATCTATCTCCCTGGGGAGTCTTTTTAACTCCATTTTGTGCAGCCGACACTTTGGCGCAAAGGAATTATACCACCCTCGCAGGTACCCATTTACACCTGGGTGAAGTGAAGCATTCGCAGGTAAATTTCTTGCTCAAGGAAATTAGCAGTGCCCCTGGTGGGGTTCGAACCCAGGACTTCTCGATCCCTAAGCGCGCGTCCTAACACTGGACTACTGCTCCTACATATTACATGTAATTAACTATGTAACCTTCTTCTTTTCCAGACAATAAGTTGATAGTTATGTTTTACAAAATGTTAAATATATAAATTACTATAGGGGAAACATATTGGTCGACAAACAAGACAAATTTATGTAATACTTAATAGACGCTACTGAGAAAAGACAACAACACAATCTAAAGGCCCATTATGCCCCAGTAATGTTTTTACTGTTGGTTCCCAAAAGCCTTTTATTTTTGATGTCCTGTGATAGTTTTCAAAAAAAATACTCATTGGCCATTTACCTGAATAGTTTATTGCTTCTGTTACCATTTTGCAATAAACTATGTATTCAGGTATAGTGATTTAGTATTTTGTATGAAAGTCAAATTACTACTTGTTTACATTTTGTGATTTTAATGATTTTTATAACACAAAAATCAGATTCAACGCCATTTTTCCACCAAGCAGACATGTGGAATAGTTAAGACATGACCTTGACCTTAAAATGACCTTGATGGTTAAATGATTGAATATTGGAACATCATAAAACTTAACCAACTGTTGCACAATAGGTGTGAAGTGGTAATTATGTTGTACTATTTTGGTCCACTTTTTCAAATTGTACTATTCAAATGAGAAAGTTAATATGAACATTTTAATTATTGATGTCAGATCAGCAACTAGTGGAAATTAGATTTGAATTGTGTGTATTTTTGTTGTTGTAATGGCTATTCCATTACCAACTTACAGTTAATTGATTAATTATATTAAAGAATTGCATTTAGTCCATATTTTTATACTGCAATTGACTACTTATTATCATTTATTATGTCCTTGTTTCTGCAGCAATTGAGTTAACAAAGAGGGTGTTCTTTTAAAAAACTAACAATATGTTGTCTTGATATTTTGTATTTGGGTATTCTGGATTGCTAAGTGTATTATCTAAAGGTATTCCAGCTTCCTTGTACCTACTATATCAGTATTTTGGGGGTATTCCTAATAATAGTAAACGACAAGTTTGGTATCAATCGTTATGTTAATGATTTGACAAAATATATTTTCCAGTTTGGTGGGAGTTCTGCTTCTCATTTATTTTCTTGGTGAATGTTAGTAGCTAATTTCTTTTGAACGAGCACAATATATATAATCGGCAGGTTTGAACTTTTGGTTCTAATTTGCTCTGTCTTACATCCCTTCTGTTTAAAAAAGATTGATTATGCTATGCTCTGGAGGTTTTAGATTTCGTTAAGGCTATAAAATTGTTTATTTGGTAGTTCAAATAAGGTGCCCATAATGCTTATACGTTGGCATTTGAGTTCTACCTTCGCCAGTTAAGCTAGAAGTCGCCATATGGCCTGTACATGAACTATATTGGTGCGGACAGATCTAGTCTGAAAGGTTCAGTTTACGCTATACATTTGTTTTACTTATATATACTTAATTATGAAATATTTTGCCAACAGCATAATAAAATTTAATATATTTGTTCATCTTTAAATCTTTTTGTTTAATAAACCTAGCGATGTGACGATGTAGTTCTGGTATAAAGAAATTGTTTTTCATTGTTGTAAGTTGTCGGACGGGGGACAATGTTTTTGTGTTGTCTGTCCGGTACATTCGTCCGTCCGCATTTCGTTTCCTTGCTATTTCTCTGCAACTAATGGCTGAAATTCAATGAAACTTTATGGTAACCGTCAATGCGCATATTGTCGCCTTGTTTGGTTCAGACCTTTTAACACAGAGTTATGGCCCTTGATAAGTAATGCAGTATTAATATAGTCCGAATGTTGTTTCCGCGCTATTTCTCTGCAACTACTGTCTAGTATTCAACGAAACTTTCTTGGAACAATCGCTACGAAGAGGAGATGCGCATAGCGTCGCTTTGTTTGGGTAAGACTTTTCGACACAGAGTTATGGCACTTGACTTTTTATGCTAAATGCATATAGAGAAATAATCGTTTCCGCGCTATATGGGAACCATCAATACCAATGGGAGATGCGCATTGGGTCACCTTGGTCCGGTCAGACACTTCAACATAGTATTTGGCCTTGATTAGTTATGCAGTATGCACGTAGAGCAATAATTGTTCTGTGCCATTTCTCTGCAGCTACTGGATGGATTTCAAGAAAACTTTGTAAAAACAATCAATACCAATAGAAGATGTGCATACCATCACCCTTTTTCGGTCAACCCCTCCAAGACAGAGTTATGGCCCTTCATTAGTTATGCAGTATGCATATAGAGCATAATCGTTTCCGTGCTATGTCTCTGCAACTACTGGCTGGAATTCAATAAATTTTATGCGAACCATTAATTACAAGAGGAGATGTGCATATCGCTGCCTTGTTTTTACTGATTATGCCATGATAAATATAAAAGTAAAGCATTATGTCTTCAGTTGTTAAGCTAGTAATAACCTTACTCGGCGGGGATGTAAATTCAACGAATTTGCTTGTTTAGTTCTTCTTCAATCGTTAGTTTTTTCTTTTGTTCAGAAAATCGGATAAATTCGTTTAGTATAGTACTTTTAATTATTCCCCATACTTACGATTAAATAGTCTGACTTATATCTGAGGTGAAATGTTACATTTTGTAACGAAATTCACAAAATTTTCGTGACACAAGCAAGTACTATAATGTCAGATATCGCGTTCATGTTGGGGCTGGTTATTCGTTAAATGTCATGGAGATCATTGTTTTCATTTATTCTCTTTGAAATATTCTATGTGCATTAAATAACTTTCTCTTAGAGCTGTTGTATAGATCATCGTTTCAAAAAGGACCACCATTGCAACATTTAATATTTCCACTTAAGTAAATGGCATGTTATCATTCCTACGCGTGTATCTTTTACCAAATCTAAGTAAATTCTATTGTTGTAAACACATTTTTATTAATGTACGTATTGCACTCACCTGTCTTGCTCAAAAAATACATGTATAATTTAATTATTTTATTATACATTATATTGTTTATGCGGAAAGAAATTTACAAACAAATATGCGTAAATGTAATGTATTACCAATTTGCCGTAAGGGTATATGTAATTATGAAATGTCGTCAATAGGTTACATATTAATTAAATTGGAATTTGAAGAACAAAGAAAAAAACTGCTATATGTCAAAGGCAGTTAGTTAGTTAGTTAGTTAGTTACAAGCGAAAGATAGAGAACTGAAAAGTAATAAAGGTAAGATATTACTATATTTGTCATTTATTCTATTTAAATATTTTCTTTTAAAAATATTTCTTTCTTTTTCAATCAATTTCATATCAATATACTTCATACTCTTTTACATTTAATAAATATGCCAATAGAATGTTAAAGAGTAGTCATAAACATCCGTTACAATGATAACAATTTTAAGTTATAATATGACAATTGTTTTCATACTTGTTTTCATAATTGTTTTAATACATTAAAATAATCAAATTAAATTTAATTTTTTAAAGAACATTGAATATCTATGGACTTTATGATAATAATAATAATAATAATAATAATAATAATAATAATAATAATAATAATAATAATAATAAGTAATATTAAAGACTTAACTTTTGATTAATTAAAGGATATCCTCATTGAACGTAATATATATAAATTTTCCTTCTTAACATGCCTAGTTTCACCCAGACATATTTCGTTCTACAAGTGTTTATTTCAAGATAACAAAAAACAAATATATGCAAAAAATTAATATATTTATTTATATTTCATTGCAATTTTCAAGTCTGAGAGTATTGAAATGGTTTAATATTTGATAAACCGGTTTCATATTTAGATTATCTGGTTTCAAATTTGTATTTTGATAAACTGGTTTCATATTTAGATTTTCTGGTTTTAAATTAGTATTTTGATAAACCGGTTTCATGTTTATAAGGTTTACAATAACCACGCTCAAAACTTTTTAAATGGCTATCCTTAATTCTAGACAAAAGCAATCATTATTTTAGGCAAGTTTTCAAAAATATGTACTGATTAATTTGTAAACAGTGAAGACCATGTTCCGGAAAATCTTGGTCTGCACTGGTCCAAAGGGTAAACTTATTTACCGCCACACTTGAGCTGCCAGTGGGGATAGTTACATTACAAAGTCATCATATATGAAGAAATGAAAATTGAAACATTATGTTTTGTAATAATGATATATTACCTTTACCAAAAATTACTTAACCAGCACAACGTCATACTTTTTATTTGTGATTATTTTAAGTAACACTTTATTTTTATCATTTCTTTATTTTCCTTTTCCAGATGAATATTAAACTAATTGTGTTGATTGTTCTTAGCGTAGTGATATTGGTTTCAGCCAAACCAGCAGTGAGTACATGCCTATGTTTCGACATTAAATTTGTTAAATGCTTAAAAATTTAAGTATAATAACATTTAATAAATTGTTTGTCATCGTATTATTTATCATAATAAATATTTCGCGATCAGGTGTATTCAGTCCTTTCATTATATACACTGTTTCATTCAATGTCCTATAATTTGTCTCATTTAGATTAAAGTTATTACCAGTTACTGTAAGTAGTTTGATAACAACCTCGTCTCCCAGTGCTTTTGCCCTTCTGTTTCTGTTTGTTGTTCGACATAGTTCTTTGCCGGTGGTACTGTATGACTGCCTAGTTCTTTGAAAGTTACATCCGGTAGGCGTCGCTTACTATTGTTGTTTTTTTCATATTTAAAAAAGTCTCCAAAATTATGTTATGGTGGATTTAAACAAAATCAGTAACCAGATTTAACTTATACCTATTCAACATATTTAAATGCTACTTTCGAACTCATATTATGCAATTAGACCATTTTCTTCAAAGGTTAACCGTATATATATGCGAAGCTATCAACAAACCCTTTTTGATATCTATAAATTAGGGTCTTCTTAAGAACATGTTTACAAACATAACACATTTATATCTGTTTCCTTAATAGAAAAAGGAAAAGGGAGAAAAAGATGATAGTGAAGATGAAAAAGAAGAAGATGATGACATGACCCTCCTAGAGCAATACATTGAACTGTGTGAAGGCATTAGAGATGGCGAAATAGAAAACACTCAGGCAAAACTTGATGATGTATTTACACAATTTAACACAACATGTACCGAAATATTAAAGTATGATGTTGAAGAAGAGGAAGCAGAGGGCATCGAATCACTTGCAGTAAAGTTAGGTTTCCCTTTGCGCAATTCGATTCATGATAAATTAATCACATATAATTCTATAAATATTAAACTAAATACAATATTATTTCTTTTATAAAAATATTAGTAGATATATAACTTATATCCATCGCTTGTTGTTTAATTTAACATAACCAAGACATTTAGATCTTCTTTATCAATATCATTTCATAAATATCAAACTGTAAATGTGTACTTCTCTTGCATTTTGCATCTCATTTTAATAAACTGCCACTTTTCATTTAAGTCTTTATGGAAAAACATTTAAAACCTTATATTTGTTAAACAAGGTCCAATTTAACTCACATTTAAAGTGCATCGTCATATTTGAAAAATGTAGAATTCTATCATGCATTTTAAAATGTAAATGATAAACCGTTGTGCGATGTAAACAATATGCTAGTTTGGACAAGATGGTCAATAACTTAAACGAGATAGATTATATGTTCAAATTGGAAATTCCAGTAAATACACATTAAATTACAGAGAAAATTATTAAAATTCGAGACATTTTATCTAATAATATCGTAAAGTATAAGATAAACTTACTGAGATATTTTTGAATACTTAACAGAAAAATGAAAAGAAAGGCGGCAAAAAAGGTGGTAAAAAAGGTGGAAAAGGTAAAGGAAAAGGAGGCAAAAAAGACAAAGAAAATAAAGCCATAAAAATGATGATGTACATTTGCATGTCTATTGGAGTTCAAAGTTACATGGAATCAGTAAGTAACATTATCTCTTGCATCTTGCAACGAGCCTGACAAAAAAAAGGCTTGGAATATCCATCCATTTGTCTATCCGTCTGGACAGGCAAACATCGAATGGTGTAGGAGCTTCATTCCGGCCAAAATCTTTGAGAAATGTATACCACAAATACCAAATTATTTATGATAAACCAGTTGGTACATGTGGTATTTTACTTGTTTATGTGGAAAATGCCACGTGAAAATCAAAGAAAAAACACATCTACCAAAGGTGCAAACACATCCATCCATCCATCCATCCATCCATCCACCCATCCATCCATCCATCCATCCATCCAATTATGATGGTAATGACAATAACGAACTTCAAGATTATTGTGACAAAAACAAAGATTGTTGTCACAACAACGCCGATAATATTGATGGCAATTGTGGCGATCATGCTTTTGCTGAAGCTGATAAATATAACGACAGTTACGATGACAATTACGAGACATGATGTTGTTGAGAAAATGATGGTGGTGGTTGCGGTAATGATGGAGCTGATAAAGCCAAAGAAGTATGATTAATTTGATTTTAATGCGGTGAATAATAACAGACATTCAATCTGTTCTTAATATCTTTCTAGTTTCCAGATGACACTCCAAGTGAACTAATAGATATTTACATAAATGATACGTATCCCATTTGTCAAGAAGCCTATGAGATTATAGAAGGAGGAGCTGAAAATGGGTTTATTAAACTTTGCACAGCACTTGATGAAGAAAAAGTTGAAAATACAGACTCGGATTACCAACCATGGTTTGATCAGCTCGAACCTATATGTGAAGACATCTTGGCTGAAACAGAGGAAGTTGTAGAGAGCGATTCAGAAAAAGTGAGTTTATCTTGATGATACGATACTATGATAAAACGTTTTTTAAATTACTTTAGTTTTAATTTATCTTTATAATTGGTTCTTAATTGTTTTGAACCAATGTTATTTGCTTCTTTTGCGGTTTTAAAGATAAATTATAATGCATTACAGTGTATTTAAAAAAAGAACATTTGTCTTGAAGACTTAATAATGATGTTTTCTGTCGGCTAGACACATTCCAGAAAGAAAAAAGGTGGTAAAGGAGGCAAGAAGGACGAGATGGAAGTAAATTATGCCCTTGTTATGTTAACACAGTCCTGTGTTAAATTGGACACAGTAGGAGTAAGTATTTTGTTATTTACTTGTGGGACTAAACGTGGCTTTTCATGGATTTCCACTAACGTGTGCTATAAATTTAACTGTTAACATTTCTTGTTCAATACAGCTAAGGCTAATTCTGTGGGGCGTAGACGGTAGTATGCATTTCACAGTACAGTCTGTGAACAAGCTCAATAAAATCGAGTCTGCAATATTTTCAAATACATGTATGTCGTGCTGGACGTTCTTTAGTGATTTGTTTTGTCTTTTTAGCGAGCATGTTTCTTTAAATTTACGTAAAACAATTATCATTAGATGCTAAATGCATACCAGTATATCTTAAGTAGTATTCTAAACGTGATCGGGTTCTTGTGATCTTTCAACATTTTGAAATTGTTTTACAACTATGCAATTTATTGAATATATCTGGTCATTTAGCATCATATGTGTATGTACAGGACTCTGTTCTTAACAACTTTTCAAGAGAAACAAAACATGCGATAAAAGGGGTTTAAGATAACTGTGAAAATAGTCTCACTCCTTATAACAAATATACGATATTTTGTTTGGAATGCCTTGATACAAATACAATAAAATAATGGTTTGAACCTAAACAAGCGTTTTTACATTTCTTGCATTATATCACTAGTCTTATAAACCATTTAACTTCTTTCAGTTTCCAAATGATACCTCTGCAGAGTGGAAAACTATCTTTGCTAGTCTTGAAACCATTTGTGACAATGTACTTGCTGGACCAGAAAATGGCTTGTCTGATTTGTGCAACGGCCTTGACAGTGGAGAAATTGAGGTGAACAATAATAAGAAGTATAAAAAGGCATTCAAAATGCTAGATCCAGTATGTGAAGCTATATTAAAGGAAGAGGCGGAAGAGGAAGTGGAGGTTCAGGAAAATGCCGTTGAGTCAAGATCTAAAAAGGTAACTAAACTTAAGCTTATAAATATGATGGTTGCTCACAAAGAACTAATGTAAAATTTCTGTAGAACACATAGTTAATCTGCAAATTCTAAATATCACGTTTTATGATATTCGACGTCATCAATGATGTTTTAGTATTATTATAAAGGTTTACAATCTAGGACAGAAATGAAATTAATTTGAACTTGATGACTATCTTTTTTGCTACAATTCGCCAAATGCAAAAAAACTTGTAAGAAAGTATTTCCATAAATGACTCTTTCCTTTTATTCTACTGTCATTTTTCATACATATTACTTGTAACAACAGGGAAACAAGAAAGGAGGTAAAAAGGGAGGTAAAGGAGGAAAGAAGAAGGAAGAGGAATTGGGAGAAGCTGTTGAGAAGCTAATTGAATACTGTCAGTGGATGATGATGCAAATGGCAACAGGGGTAAGTTAACGAGATTCGTGTTATACAGACGGCAAATCATACACCCTTAATTAAACTTCAAATTTAAAAGAATAACAAGTCATAATATTTGGTTCAACTCAATAGCAAAAAGGAGACTTAGAAATTCATCAACTCCAGGGAAGTTGGCTTTCTGCAATTGAATAGTACAAGTGACGCAAATGAGTCTATAGCTCGACATGCTGTCTTCAGAGAGAGACATCTGGGTACTGCATTCATTGAATCATTAAAATATAAAATATGCTTACTGTAAAAACACATAAATGTTGACATGACACAGCGTTCTTTTTTCCCCCGTGAAATTCAACAATAAATACTATTGTGATTTTTTGGAGAAAAATGCGTGAGGAGTAGCTTACACTTTTCAATTCTGTCCATGACTCAATGAAACAGAGCCTGCAACATGTTCATTTTTTTCGTATTGGGCTTTCTTTTGGGATTCCGGTTCTATTTTTAGTACACAGTGCATTATCGTTTTTATTTACTTTTCAGACACCCGTAGACTATCCTGTAGAACTGATTGCCAGATATAAGCGAATGGTATATGTCTGCAAGGCTGCATACTAATTGCAAGACAAGAAAAAAAGTTCATAGAGTACAGATAATCACAAATAACATGAAAGAAAAAAATCAACATAACTTATAGATGTTGACAATCTGATTAATATCATGTGCTTAAAGAAACTGAAATAAAATATAACTCATATACAAAATGTTAATGTTATTTGAACATTTAAAACATGTAACAATGGCAGTCGGGTATATATGTAAGATTGTTTAGTTAAATTATCTAATTAGTTTTGAAAAATAGGAAACAGTAAAGTTGAATAAGGTAGATAATCAAGAAATTAAAAACAAAACTTTATTTATTGGTTCATTTGATTATACAATTGAAATTAATCGGGTTTGTGTCTTATCAAAATGTTTTATGTACATATTCACACTACTAGTATTCCTCAATTATAAATATTATTACACAATATATGCACAACGTGCAAAAAGAAAACTATATATGACGTAAAAAAATAATGACGTCTGTAAAATTACGTATACGCTCAATGTGGTTCAACATATTTTTTCTCAATTATACTTTTAATTATCCTTTTAGAATACAATTAGACATTTTGTTTTCATTATTGTTATAATAGTAAAACAATGTACGGTTAACGTTCAAATGGCTTGCAATTATCACTCAGAAATATCGGCATTCCTATTAACGTTGGTACCGAAGCTCTGCAGACGTAATCATATTTTGGAAAGAAAAAACAAACGTTTTCATTCGGGATTTTATGCTTACAGTATAGTAGCATGTGGATTCACAACTTCAATCATAACGAGAAAATGGCATCATCATAAAAATCATTTCATTCATAAAAGACGTTGTGTAAGCATTAACATCTCCATTTATAACGGCATAATAATAACATTCCAGCGTTTATTCATTTTTAATACCTATGTTACTATATATAGTAACAAAATCTAGGGTATTTCACGGCCATAGTGGCAAGATCTAGGCTATTATGCAATTTCGGCCGCCTTGCTACTCGGCATAATTTTTCCATAATGGGCGAGTGAGTGAATGAGCGCACGTGCATGACATTATCAACTATCTGTGACTTTCAAGATGGCTGCTGACGTTAAATGAACTGTAGTCACTTGCAAACAAAATATTTTAATGTTTAAATGGCATAATTAATCACAACAAGAGCCATGTCAACATGGCCATCCCCCGCCGAATGTGTTTGCTCATTGGAAGAATGTATATGTAGTAGAGCAGAATAATTCCATTTTAAGAGGTCTTTTGGTTATGAAAACTGATGGCTATAGTGATTACAGATTTGAAACCTATGTGAATACTGATGGCCGAAAATAACAAAGGGCAATAACTGAAAAATAATGCAGGGTAGATTATCATTCTTGTGTGCTGCATCCCTCCTCAGTAAAATCTATCCACCTATGAAGTTTCAAGTTGATACCTCAAATACTTTTTGAGAAAAGAAATTGAATTGAAAAATTAAGTATGAAAAATAACAAAGGGCAATAACTCAAAAAGTATAAAAGGTAGAGTTATCATTATTGTGCACTGCACACCTCCTGAGTTAGATCTATGCACCTATGAAGTTTCATAATGATATCTCAAAGGCCTTTTGAGTTATGCTCTGGACAAAAATTAATTTTGAAAAATAAAAAAAGGGCAATAACTAAACAATTATGCAAGGTAGAGTTATCATTCTTAAGCACTGCACTCCTCCTCAATGAGATCCATCCACCTTTGAAGTTTCAAGTTGATACCTCAAATACTTTTTGAGATAAGCTCTGGACAAAATAGCATGAAAAAGAACAAAGGGCAATAACTCAAAAAATGTATAGGGAAGAGTTATCATTCTTGCGCACAACATTCCTCGTCAAAACGTCAATAAGATCTATCCACCTATGACATTTCATGTTGTTATCTCAAACACTTTTTGAGTTATGCTCCACTCAGGTGAAAAATTAAGTATGAAAAATAACAAAGGGCAATAACTCAATAATTATGAAAGGTAGAGTTATCATTCTTGTGCACTGCACACCTCCTGAGTGAGTCTATGCACTTATGAAGTTTCATGTTGATATCTCATAAGCTTTTGGAGTTATGGTCTGGACAAAAATCAATTTTGAAAATTAACAAAGGGCAATAACTCAAAAATCATGCAAGGTAGAGTTATCATTCTTGTGCACTGCACTCCTCCTCAATGAGGTATATCCACCTATGAAGTTTCAAGTTGATAACTCAAATACTTTTAGAGATATGCTCCGGACAAAAATGTCGGACGGAAGGACGGACGGACGGACGGAAGGACGGACGTTCTAACAGGACAGTAATTATGTGGCTACTCTTTTGTTCTCTCTATTTTTCTTTTTAGCCACACAAAAGAGAATAGCCACATAAAAGCATAATGGAATGAATGACATCAAAGAGAAAGAACAGTTACCTATTGTCCCTCTAGCCACATAATTACTCTCCTGTGAGTGCGGAAGGTCGGACGGACGGAGACTATTTCTATATCCCCCGCCGCCTTTTCGGCGGGGGATAATCAGCAAAGAGATTTATAAACTCAAGACAATACAATGATTTCAGATTGACGGTAATAAAAACATCGGATCGGTGGCATTTAGACCAAGAAAGCGTTTTTGGAGGCACAAAACCTCACTAGATCTTAATGAAATTCGTACAAAAATGTAAAAAATAAGATACTGTATAGATCAATAAAAAACAACATTTTCTTATATTTACTTTGTGTTGTCATGTTTTCTAAGTTAATCGGAGGGTCAAACTGTTTGAAACAAATATTTGTTTACATTGACAACTGTCCGTTTCTTAGAAAGGGCGACAACCAATATTAGCGTCGTATTTCGGACAAAGGTACTCGAATGTATAATGACCTTCGGGCCTGCGGCCCTCAATCTTCGGGCCATTATAGCATAATCAAGTATTAATCACTAAATAAAAGACGCGCTGAAACACACACGACTTGTTATGTAAGCACGGGGTTTTCAAGCTCCGCCTTCAACAGAAGACTAAGTATTTGTCATATATATATGCAAGAATATAGCGTTAATCCTGGTCGTAAAATAAAATGCTATTGGACTCGTGTCCAATATCAACGGGCAGTATTTGAAGTGGCTGCACCCTTATGTCAAGCAAGCAAAATGGTTGCATACTTAACATAATGGCAACAAGTCATGAACATTCATAACGCATTTTAAGATTTAACGAGAGTTTCTTCTTCTCATTTTATAAAATCTGTATGTTTTAAAGTTTATAAAACAATATAAAGTATGTCTTGTGTCAGTTACGTTGAAATTTGCATGTTTAAAATAATGCTTCAAGTTAAAACTCGAAATTTTATATGTGATTAATATAATCTATCATTTTGTTGAATAGATGATAGGAGAATCCCGACACCAGGGTGATCAGTTCTATAGGTAACGAGCTTTGGCAAGTTCCTTATGGAACCGATTGCCCGAGGGTTTGGATTTCCCTATCCTCTATCTAATCAAATGTTTGATTATTCTATTCACTCACCTGAACACACAAGAAACTATTTAATATCAATACCAGTGAAACAACTTCTTATGCGCAATACATCCTAGTTTGAAAGGCGGGCGGGGCTTAGGCACTTGACTTTCTCTGGTTGACAAAAAGCATTTTACCATGCGCAAATAATTCTACTGATCCAGTTAATGTGTCGAGATATTCAATGAAAATAAATTGAAATTAGAATTGTCATCAAGATGCAATGTTATAATGATAAATTACGTCAATGTTTAAGGTAGGCAATCTCCTAATTTAAATGTTTATAAAGAATTCAGTCCATACCTCAATGGTTGACCAAAAGCGTTTCACCGTTTTGCAACGAATTTTTATTCTGTTATTTTGGCCAAATATTCAATTAAAATACATTAAGGTGACATTCGTTATCCTGAACCATTGTTATCATTACACAATTTGGATATTTCCTTTGCAAAAAGTCATAATATTTGACTTTACGAAGATTTTCGCGAAACTTTCAGTTGTGCTTTTTTAGTACTACGTAGAGTAGGACTCGTTAGAGCGTCAAATTATTTTGATTCTGTCGACAATTAAATAAACAAGGTCACACATTTTGATACATTTGGCCCTTTGTATCATTTCTTTTTTTAGGAGTGAATATCGCGCATGAAGTGTTGCACGGTAAACCCATGTGAGATAATGTTTTCCAGCACCGCTAATTTTAGTAATATTTACGGATTATTCTATCCTGTGAGCGAGAGTTAGAAACTACATTGCCAAATATATATATATATATATCGTATACCCACATGAATGATACATTTATACTTAATAATGCCACAATATTAGCTACTAACAATAGGATTTCTTAACATTTTAAAATACACTGAGCATTTCTGTTCAGAGCAATACTGTTTTTTTGTGTGTGCAAAAGTATAAAACTCAAGACAAAGAAAGTAAGTGCATAGATACAGTATTTAAAGCGTCTTTATATAAGAAATTGCTATTTCTTTCATATGTAAATGTTATTTGTGTACAATATCTTTCATAAAGTAATGATATAATACTGATTTGAATGAAGATATTTTATCAGACTGTTTATCTAAAAAATTGGATTGGTCTATAATGGGCAAATTTTCCATTGATAAACACGGTAAAATTGTATCGTTTGGACATTTTAATAAAATATTTCTAAAAATTTAATATATTGGCAGAGTTCTAATTTAATGGCTGGGTAAACAGCAATACTTATTTTTTATATAACATGTTTCATCCGGTATTTCCTACATCGTTTCCGTTTTTTCAACCGGAACACGACGATTATTAATTACGAAAATATGCGATTGGAATTATACATTTACAAGTAATAGTATGGCGACGCCCATAAACAACAATTGACACTGAATATTTAAATAATTGGTATATTTATCATTTTAATAATTTTATTTGAATTATGTTCCTTTCGAATATACATGTGTAGTCTATACATGTAGTTGGTCAAGCCCACAATGACTTAAAGAACTGTACATTATGTGAAGTATCAATGCATTTGATCCTATAATGAAAGTGTACTTTAAGCTACTATGTAAAAATGGCATCGCTGTCAAACAACTTCATCTTGTGATGGAGAGCTCAATCATTATGTATCAAATCTAAAAAAAGGAAATGGCCAAGCTTGTTATAGACCATTTGAGCCGCGCCA